TTTTAACGGTTTGTCCTTAAAAAAATGTTAATTGGGTCATAAACGTGGATCGGAAATGAAAAGGACAATCTGATAATCTCTAAAGTAGATAACTGTTCTTTTTTTTCCCTATATAAAACGTAACAGTCGAAAAGGTGAAAACTGGCAACGCTGCAAACAATGACCCTCTAAATTTTAGACGCTTGTAATAAATAATAATTTAGAGTATGTGGGATCAATATAGCCTAAAATGTATTTGAGGCCATTGAAGTGGAATGCTTTCAGCTGTGAAAATATATAGATATACTAGTATATTGGGTAGATATACTACTCAAGGAGTCAGATAATAAAAAATTTCGGACAAATTTTTCAAAAAATTTTAAAATTTCAATTTTTTGCGAAAAAAACTCATAGACGTGTTTTTGGGGTCGAAATACACTACCCTTAAAATATTAGCTCTTATTTAAGACTCACCCTGTATAGATCTCAATTATCCGACAATAAAATAGAGATTTAGAGGTATGGAGAAACCCATTACTTTAAAATCCTACCGACTGTGCCATTTCTATTTTTTATACTAATAAATTGAAAACATTTAAAATATATTTAAATATTTATAATATACGTAGGTAAACTTTAGTGATTTTAAATAAAATATTCCATAGATAGCAAAAAGTATGTCTTCCCCGCTCATGACACATACTTAAGATTTAACATTGCTCATTTTCTTCTAGTGTAAAGGATAGTCCGGTAGTTTAGAATGTTGGCTGTAACTCGGGAACAATGAATGAAAAATATTAATAGATAAGTCGGCTAAGAAAAAACGCTGCAAATTATTTTCGAAGTTCGAAAGATCCTCTAGGAACCTTTGCGGAGCGTAACAGCAACACAATCAAAAATACCAATTTATTCTTAATGTTCTGTATTGGTTGTGATATATTGAAAAAAGTATTTCTTTCTCTCGGCCTGGTTTGTCAAATAAAAGTTATAGGGGCATGTTAAAAAATTAATATTTAAATGTTGGTATCTCTGCTTTGAGTAAACAGACTTTAATGAAATTGTTATCGAAAAAAAGCTATACTTTTGCTGTATTTGTGGAGCCATAAATTGTTATAATAACTTAATTATTGGTTACTAAGATGGCGTTGTTTCAAAATTCTCCAAACAGTGATGGGTTTCTCAGTGAGCTATACAGGGTCCGGCAATAGTGCGTCGGGCATCTGTAGCTCCTAGAATAAAAAACTTGAGAATTTTGTTTAAGTGCAAACCTAAAGTATGGATCAGGATGTATTTCAGGAAAATATTTTAATTTCTATAGGGTGGCTCAAAAAAGTACGAGTGGACCTGGATGATTTTTTTTTAAATGGAACACCCTGTATATTATTGCATTTTTGGCTTCCTTTCAGATCACTTTACATGACCCTAAGATATGAATAAATATATTTCGATAGTTTCAGAGATATTAAAAAATAAATAAAAAATATATATTTTTCAGCCCTTCTTAAAAAAATTATTAAAAATACAAGAACTGTTCTGAAATCAAAACTATATTAGGTATTTACTTTAGATAGTCTGTTCTTACTTTGCTAAAATTATGGTAATCGTAAATCATACAGGATGTTCAATATTCTACGCCAAACTTTCTAAAATATAATATAAATTTTCTTTGTTATTTTAAATGGAACACCCTGTATATTATTTTTTTATTAGATGGAGAGTTAAAAAATAAACATTTTTTGTATTTAGAGTATTTCAAAATTTTTAACGGTTTCGCAGATACGCGCAGTATTATTTCCTATGGCGCTTTCAATGGTAAAATACGAGAGAAAAATCATTGGGTGGCTTTGATAAAAATTTACTGTGGAAAATGCCATATGAAATATAAACCCGCAAATATCTGCGAAACCGTTAAAAATTTTGAAATACTCTAAATACAAAAAATGTTCATTTTTTAATTCTCAGTCTATTGAAAAAATAATATACAAGGTGTTCCATTTAAAAAAACAAAGAAAAATTATTTTATATTTTAGAAAGTTTGGCGTAGAATTTTGAACATCCTGTATAATTTACGATTTTCATATTTATAGCAAAATAAGTACAGACCATCTAAAGTAAGTACTTAATATAGTTTTGATTTCAGAACAGTTCTTGTATTTTTAATCATTTTTTTAAGAATGGCCTGAAAAATATATATTTTTGATTTATTTTTTAATATCTCTGAAACTATCGAAAGATATTTATTCATATCTTAGGGTTATGTAAAGTGATCTGAAAGGAAGCCAAAAATGCAATAATATACAGGGTGTTCCATTTAAAAAAAATCATCAAGGTCCACTCACACTTTTTTGAGCCACCCTATAGAAGTTAAAATATTTTCCTAAAATACATCCTGGTACATACTTTAGGTTTGCACTTAAACAAAATGCTCAAGTTTTTTATTCTAAGAGCTACAGATGCCCGACGCACTATTGCCGGACCCTGTATATTGACTTTTATGTCGCAATATATTTGGTAGCGATTAAGGTCATTGGAGAAGTGAATTTTAGCCAGTTGATGATGGTATCTGAAATCAGAAACTTTGAACTGAAAATTTAACCATCAAATGAATTAATTCAATCTGAAATTTAAGGAAGCCCAAAAAGAAATGAAGATAAAAAAGTCTTCATTACTAAAATTTCTGTAAATACTGATTCTCAATACTAAATATATAATATATGTTTAATTAACAAACATAGCTATTAAAGCGGACGTTTTCCAATGTATTAAATTGCTTTATAATATCTAATGAAGGTCTTTAGTCTAAAGAGCCTATAACATTATGGAATGTAAATCATCACCAAATGACTTTGAAATTACTTCTAAACTATTATAGAAGTAATCACAAAACAAATACCGACACTAACTGTCTGATAAGTATGTGCAGTTAATTTTCTACCCCTTTCTAATAGACTGTATTAGAACAAAGGGAACAGTTTAAAGGTCTTGAGTTAAGAACCGCTATTTTGGCAGTAGCGAGGGATATTAATTTGAAATAATACCAAGCAAATTAAACTGGAATATACTAGAACAGCAGGAAGATTCTGTTAATTTTAAAGCAAATCTATTGCTTGAATATAATAAATTATATTGTTATTCATGAAAATATATATCATAATTAAAGTGTAAAATAGATAAATCCAAAAATCACTATCTACCACTCAGATGCAAAAAAAAACGCAACAGAGAAATTTTTGGTCAAGTTTAAAGTGTTTTTTTTTATTTTTAGTCCTATTTTCGTGATTTTTTCCAGATCTGGCAACATCCTGTGACTGTACCAATGCTGGCGTCTTCAGTGGAATACGTCACGTTTCACTGTACCCAACTTCAAAGGCCTTTCTTTAGTATACAGGGTGCTACAAATTTGAGGTACGAGCATTGGTATCTCGATAACCGTAATAGATAAGCACATGGCTAAATTGGGGCAAAGTTGCGCTTTAGAATGTTCACCAAGATGCCATTAAGAAAGTTTTAAAAATGTCAAGAATTGCTGAGTTTTTTGGGAAAAAATTATTAGGGCTATCTGATAGTATCTTTATATTTTCAAATTAACTGATAATTTGTGATATACAGCGGCCAACTTATTTTTTTTTTTAAATACGGACCTGCATTTTTATTTCAGGTTTTGAAAGAACTCGGTCTCCTGAGTACAATAATATGCCACATTTAATATTTTTTATTGTTTTGGGACATTTCAACACAATTTATTTAAATTAATTTCAAGTTCGGCCCTGTTTTAAATATTTAATGTATTCACCGTTACAATATTGATTAGCTTTCAAACTTAACAATGACGTGGGGCAAAACATTGAATACGAAAAATCAAATGCAATAAAGTAATAAAAAATAATGCAAAGTGAATAATATACATATAATAAAATATAAACAATTAAATAATTTCTCCGCAAGATGATTTGGAAATGGTGGAGCAGTACCTATAATGACCAGTGAGGTTCCTGGGCCTGCCGCCAAGGGGCCGACTGGCCGCATTACTTGACGTCATTTGTGAAAGTGAAATCAATACATCTCAACATTTACAATAAAGAGTACAAAATGCATTCTGAAGTATAAGAAGATCTGTGCCGAAAGCTATAAATAAAATTTAATGAAAGATAAATTAGTGCTATAGGGATGGTGGTAACCCTTTCGAACATGTAGAGTATTAGAAACTAGTTTGTAGAAGTTGATTTATTTATAATAACTACGATTAATATGATGCGTATTATAAGATCGCGCACTGAGATTTAAAATTCACAATAAAAAAATCCAAAAAATAATATCTTTAAATTGCTCACCTGGATATTATTTATTTGAATCTTTCAATTGGCTCAATTTTCCTTATTCAATGTTAATTAACGCTGATCAATATTGTTGCGATGAATATAAACAGATTAAATAAGTTTAAAACAACCACAGTCGAACTTAATTAAATTAAATTATTTTAAATAGTAATTAAATAGTTTTGTTGTTGTTTAGGTATTCAAAACAAAAAAATATATAAAGTGTGGCATATCATTGTACTCGGGAGACCGAGTTATTTCAAAACCCGAAATAAAAAATGCAGATCCGTATTTAAAAAAATTAAGTTGGCCTCTGTATCTAAATTGTCAGCTAAATTAAAAATCTAAAAATACTATCAGATAGCCCTAATAAAGTAGCTATGAAAATGTGCAATTAGTTTTTTGGTTTTCTAAAAAGTAAAGACTGAAAAAGACTAAAAAAAAAGACTTTTTTGATGGTACCTTGGTGAACATCGCAAAGTACAACTTGGTCCCAATTTAACCATCTTCGTATCTATTAGGGTTTCCGAGATACCGATGCTTGTACCTCGAATTTATAGCACCCTGTATAATGTCAGTAGCTTTATATTTATAATTCATCATTGACTACCATTTTCATACGTAACTAAATATTTTTTTTTAATATTTTTCTAAATTTGCTTTTATTTTCCCACATCTTTAAATCATTTTTTTTATTTCAGAGGCTGACTACACTCTAGATGAATCGTTTTGGATCGAAGAAGGTCCTGCTGGTAAGTACATAATATTATCCAGATAATTATATTAAACAATGCGCACCTATGTTGATATAAAAAATAAATCTTAACTAAGAAGCATCTTAACAAAAAAAAAACAAGACCGGAAATATCACAACAAGAGACGGCGTATGTTTTTGATACACCCTGTATAGCTACAGAGACAACATACACAATATATATGTTACGGTTAAGGTCTGATGTCCGGTTAATGTCGACATTACCCGGTTAATCTCGAGAATAACACACAACAAAACAACCAAAAACATAACCTAACCCAAACATTAACATGTTAATATCGACATTAACCGGACATCGGACTTTAACCGTAACATGTACAGGGTGGGTCAAATTCGACGCTTTTAAATAGAAACACCCTTTTCTATAGGAGATAGACTAAAACTAATATCGGTGTCTGGAGCTCAATTTTTGTCAAAAACATGATGGTGAAAACCGCATATCGATATCTGTTACCGTTTCGGAGTTACGGGGTGTTTTTCAAAAATATGCATTTTTAACAAATCGCTGTAACTTTTTGCTATGGAAAATTTTGTTTTTTATGAAAACATTTCCAAAGCACCTTTTACGTAGAATTTAATGGTTTAAGTATAATTTTCTAAAATTAATATTTTAAGAATTATCAACAAAAATTTGATTTTTTATATAGGACACCCTGTATATTTTTTAATTTATTGAAAAGAATGTAAAATTACCTTTCCAAAATATAACATACTTAATATTTTGCTCGATTCCTCTTCGAGATATAGAGTATATAAAAATTCGCCCGCTTTAAATAAGTAGGCTTTGAACGGCACCGGCTGTAATGCAAAAAAATTCTAGCTGTGAGCATCAATTAAAACGAAAATAATATTTGCTATGAGAGATGCAGAATTTTATAACAATTTAAAACATATTTAACCAACATCAACACATTTAAACTATATCTAGTAACATTAAAAATAAATAGCAAACCAAGACATGAGATTTTGCTATAGGTGTTCAACATATCGACCGTCTTCTGTAATGGACAGACGGGGCAGTTTTTGAACATTTCTCGCGAAATTCATTAACTCAGTGGGGGTGAAAGATACTCTCTCATAACTGCTAAGTATTTCTAATTCTTGTCTAGATTATACGGAAGAATAAGGAACCTTTTTTTCGCAAATATATCAGTAGGATTAGATCCATGGGCACTAAGTCAGGCGGCCTCGACGGCCAACGGCTGGGATCTTGGTTAGCTATTCAAATATTCTTGAAATTGGCTGCAAAAATTTGCTAATAATTTCAGCGTTCAGAGCCGGTGCGTCGTCTTGCTGGAAAAATATGTTTTCGAGTTCCATTAGAATACCTCTAATCATCAATAAGGCGTCCAAAGCCTACTAGTTAAAAGTGGCGAACTTTTAAAAATTCTGTATTTCGAAGAGGATTATAACAAAATATCAAGTGTGCCATATTTTTGGAAAGGTAATTTTAAATTCTTTTCAGTTAATTAAAAATATGGAGGGTGTCCCAAATAAAAAATCAATTTTTCTGTTGATAACTCTTAAATTATTAATTTTAAAAAAATTATACTTAAACCATTAAATTCTACGTAAAAAGGTGCTTTGGAAATGTTTTCATAGAAATACAAAATTTTCCATAGCAAAAAAGTTACAGCGATTTGTTAAAAATGCACAGTTTTGAAAAACACCCTGTAACTCCGAAACGGTAACAGATATTGATGTGCGGTTTTCACCATCATGTTTTTAATAAAAATTGAGCTCCAGACACCGATATTAGTTTTCGTCTATCTCCTATAGAAAAGGGTGTTTCCATTTAAAAGCGTCGAATTTGACCCACCCTGTACACAAAATAAATATATTTTTTGTAATAAATTAAATTGCATTTTTGTATTTAATATAACATTATTCAATTGAAGTATTTAGTTACATGTTTTTTGCGGGTCGACTAAAATAGATTTTATATCTCATCTTTTGCTCATTATTTTAGTAATAAAACCATATACCCTGTTTATTTTAAATTAAATTAATAAATACTATTATTATTGCACATCAACATAAATTATTAAGTCGATTTTATAATGAATGTAATTACTGTGCATATTTAAATGAATAATTAATATTTAATTCCTTGTAACTAAAAGAGCAACACAATTACTGTTTTTATTATTATTGTAAATAATGAACAATTTTTGTATATTATTACTGTGTATTTGTTTCATTCTGTATTTTGTTCCTTACGGTTTTCTGATCAATTGTTATGTTTGAATATTTAAATATTACGAAACTAATATAACTACAAGTATCATGTCAAGCAAGTACAATATTTATTAAGCACAATTTGTTTGGCTATGAGTATGATTCAAGAAAGGGGGACACAATGGATCTGTAAGGTCGAAGTGATTAACCCCCCTCCCACTCATTCTAATTCTAAAAAAAAAAATTGGCTATGAGTAACATATTTTAATTAATTTTGATTGATGTTTCTATTACATTTAATAGTAAATGTTCTAGTGTCATTATAAAAATGACAATAGGACATATGATATATTTTCAGCGATGCTATAATTTGTTTTTTTTTGAAAAATTACTGAATTATAGCTAATTCTTATTATGTTTAAACTATTTCACTTAGTTAGCTATGGAAACAAGTTCAATCATCGTGGCTCTCAGAGTTGTCAACTGTCACATCCAGGCTTTGTAAATAAAAATCAACAAAAATTGTAAAAATATGAATTTTTCAAATGAAGAAAAGCGTGTGGGATTATTGGTTCAACTTTTTTTGGCCATACATTTTCGAGGATATGTTGACCGGTGAACGTTGCTTACTTTACGCTTTTTAGAGAAAACGGTTTTCAAGGCATGTTAGAAAAAATTAATTTAGACTCGCGCATCAATAAAGTGATCATAATGAAATTATTTTTATCATAATTTTTGAACATTTGTTAAAAAACTTAGAGTGTATGTAGTGATATTAGTTTTTTAAGTTTTAGTTTGTGTAATGTAAATTTTAAAGAACCGTTTAATAAAATATTCTGTCTTTATATAAGTTATAAATCATAACAAAATAAGAATACCATGCCAACTAACTGAAATTAGTCAAGAAAGATAAGAATTGGCTATAACTCAGTTATTTCTCAAATTGGCTATAACTACTAAGTAATTACGATTTTTATGAAACTATGGTTTCCATTAAAAAAAACATACGTTTGTATAGTATTTATCAAAAATGACAGAGTTTAGAAAAAAAACGGAGAACACAGTCTCATTAAGGGTATAATTATCTACAACTTTTATCTGAAAACTTTTTGTCTAAAATAAATTATAATGGAATTAGGGACCATTTTTAAAATAGCCCATATGTATGACCCCACAAAACTGCAATTCTTTCCCCATTTAACCGACTCTCTATCTCCAGTAGTTTCCGAGACACCCATAGAGAACATTGTAGAAAACTCACCCTGTATATACCTACTACAGCTTTGTCAGTCTATCTGTCTTTGTCTATAAGGTAATGGTATGAATTATGGCAAATTTTCTACTATAATCTTCTTTGCCTGTTTTGGCCCTGGTGAATTTCTCCATCATTCTAGAGATATGTTGGCCACCCACTGTTTTGTGTTCTGTGAATTGCATTCATGTGTCTTGTTTGGCCACTTTATTTAGGTTTTCGTTGCCTTCGTGTTCATTACTTCTTTTTGTGACCCTCGTACCCTGGTATTCATGCTACCCTAACAGTGGTACGCTCACCCAATGTATTCAGAACACTTCTACAATCCCACACTACCTCTAGAACTAACCTCTATGGAACTGAGTCCCATGGCTGTCTGTGAAGGTGGCAACTAAACGGTGTGTTCATACTTGATTTATCATTTCTTCTACACAATAATGGATTGTCCCTATCTGTGTAAAAAAATTGTGATATCCTTGGATAAGCTTACTGGAAAACCTACTCTTGTTTCAGCTCCACTATCTCAGCTCCTACGTGTTCTGGCATTCTTGCCCCATCTATATACCAGGTTGGGTTGTTATATCATTGATGTTAAAGCTATATCTTATAGAGAACATATTGTGTTAATATTATGCTAATTTCTCATATCATGGTATTTTACATAAATTCCAATGAAAATCTAATACAGGAGTGGTCAAAAAAGAATTTCTGTGTTAAGGCACACAACCCCAAAATAACATATAAGTCAGCAGCACCTCCCCAATCAAACTAAAACATATCAGAGATTCATTGACGATTTGTCTGTGCCCGGCTGCATCTCGAGTAGCTTTCCACGTCGTGAAAAATGCCAGCCAATCCGAAAAGCGGACACGTACTGACCTACTACCTCTAGATTGAAGCAGTTTGCCGGGCAATCACGCGCCGCGCGTGACGTCATCAATCTCGGCGTAGCCCAGTCGAGGTGGCGGCGGCAGATTACGTTATCCAATGGGCGCGGTCGATTTAAAATTAAATTAATAATAAGGATAATAAAATGTTTTATTAAGCTATTGATTTTAAATATATTTATATTTATTAAAAATATAGGCGTTAAACGAAATATGGATTTGTACAGAGTGGTCTAAAAATGGAGGATATCGGCTCTAGCTTGGAAACAGTTAATGATAAAGCCATAGCAATATTTATACCAATCAATTCTGCTAGAAAATAGTACGTTGTGAATGCTCTGGAACAGCGCAGAATAGCTCTTTGCTACTGCGCTAGCAAGTCTTACTATTGGGTCGGTATTTACAGGTGTGGAAGTGAATCTAGCGTATATTATTAAATCGGAGTGAGAAAAAATGCGACGGTGTACTGTTGTGGAGTCACCACATTATCGGAGATACAGGTGCAAGTTTTCCTGGTCGAAAGACGCTTATTTCTAAAAGTGTTTTTTTTGGAAAAAACTAGATAATATCATTAGATATGTTTCTGAGCATCTGAAATCGAGTAAGAAGAATCGTTATGGTGTCCATTTTTTTATAATAACAAAATGTCAATAATCGCGG